TTGCATCCAGATTTTCTTGTTTATCTGGCAGTTCATTATTTAAGGCCAGCTTGTCAAAATAGGTTAAATATTCTTTGGGAAACATGGTCACGTCTTTGAGACACCACAAATATATTTAATATGCCAAGATTGGCTTGATAAACGAAACAAGATAAACTTGTACCCCCTGAAATACTTTCCCGCTGTTCCATGTAGATTTCTGAGAGTATCAGTACGCAATGACAAACTTCACGGCAATGGATTCCTGGAAAAGGCATAGAGAGACGTGAAAATGATTGCTGATGGTTTATTCTAACTACTTGACCTTGTGACATCTCCCTTAGATATATGACCAAGATGGGACACTTCAGCACTTTATCGATGGTGGAGAACCCAGTAAGTCAAGCTGGATGAGGTATATCCGATGTGCAAGGCACTGTGGGGAGCAGAACTTAACAGTGGTTCAGTACAGGTAAAGTATTTTTTGATTTACTCAATGCAACAAAATTAAAATATTTTAGTGGAAAATCAGATTTTGACTGTCACCAGTACTGTAGCCTTTGATTACAAAGACAGTTGCAGAGCTTTTGGGAATGTGCTCATTTGGGGCAATACAAAAGCTGCAGCATGAAGCTCCTGAGAGCAACATCAGCCCTGTGTCACTTGTGTGAGCACCACACTACACAGAGCCTTTACAATTTTTTAACCAGTCTGATCAGAAGCAAGCCAACACAAACAATCTTCCACCCTTAATAGAGATACTGGTGCTAGAGGAGGGGGGAAAATGGCAGGAGAGGAGTTTTGAACCCAGCGGCATTCTGAGGGTCAGACATGTATGCACCTAGAGCTTTCATGTTGAGTGCACCTGCTAGCCAAGATTACCAATGCTTGTACCTCTTATGTTGCTGGTTGGAGAAAAGCAAAATGTAAAGAAAAATGTAAAGAAATTATGATGCATTTTACTTTGTACTTGCAAACAGATCCAGAAAACCCAGACAACACATTACACAAATACATGATCTCAGCTATAAACAAACCTTTTGCCCCAGAATCAGAAGCGACTGCTTGGCCTTATTAAATGTGGTAGGAAGCACATCAAAGAATGCCCCAGGCTTGCCAGTTGCAGTGAGCAATCCTGATTCTTGCTAGTTCCTTTAGAGAGCAAAGTGTCTTTTATGAAGGAAGAATCTTAAACTTATTTAAAGTACCTTTAAAATTAAAAATAAAACATACAAAAGCAAGCTAAAATGAAATATATAAAGTTTGATTATGCCATAGGGTTCCAATTTAACAGTGGTAAAATTGTTCAATTGCATTTTCAGCTTTTTTATTTCCTGGCCAGTTGACTAAATAATGCTGCACTTAAAAAATAACTATCCTATTTATACATTACAAATCTTTTATGATATACTTAAATATCTGATATCTATAGCTAAAATACCATAGGATTTTAAATAAGCACACTGGATAATGAATAAAGATTGCTGTGATGAAAGAGTATTTTTGTAGGTATCTAGTGGACTGTTTCTCAGTGTGGTGGTGTATGTGTGCACGTATATATAAATAAGAAAAAAATATGCCTACATATATATAGATGACAAACCTAAATGAAAAGTGAGCATGAGAAAGTCATTACACATCTGTCAATATTAAGCGGATTTTATAACTCTCCTTTCATGATGGAGTTTTTACTTAGAATTCCCTCTGTTGATCTGTTTTTGATTACTTCAGATCTTTATAAAATGAACTACAAAAACACAATTTAAAAAACTGGCATCCATCACCAGTGACTGCATCCAAGTGTAAGAAAATAGAAAAGTTGGACACTGAAAAACCAGCCTAATTTTTATTGTACATGGATGTCCTCCTCACAGAAAGTCAGCTGGTTTAAATTCATTCTGTTATGATTTGTAATATCTAAATGGAATTTTCTTCAAAGTGCTCTTGATTGATTGACCCTTAGCTGAACGTTTTGTTTTTATTTTGAGGCTGACAATAATGTTTGTTGGCATGTGTTCTGCTTCAACTGTGTTGGGACGCCATGAAGCTATCTTTATGAGTCATCCAACCACAATACTAAATACATGTCAGCAAAGGAAATATTATCCAAAAAGGGAAAAATCCCTTTGATGTACTTCAGCATGCAGAGATTTCTGCGAGTTTTGGAAGCTCTGCACACTTGTAAGGGACGGTATACACTTACACTTTTTTTTCCCTGCCTACTCCAAGCCTCACAGACCACCCATTGCTCAAAAACAGTTCTGCTCTTTCAGCGGCAAAGTGTGTCATTTGGTTTTAGCACATTCATTTGCTGGGCTGCTGTGTTTATGTTAAGGGAAGCCAAACTGAGAGATGAAATGTTACAAGGGTGAAGTACAAAGTAGACTCAATTTTTCTCAAGTTAGGAGATGCTGGTAATTTATCGTGTGGCTCCGATTTCCATTTTTATGTAACAGTGGAAAGAATTAACTAAATGCGTAGCTCTGGGGAGAAAAAGAGGGAGAAGAAAAGGAGGAGGAGGAGGGAAGGAGAGGGGGAGACACAAAGGGGAGAGTTTTTGTCAGATATTCATAGAAGGCTAAGAAAACCATTCTGCTTAGCTAGCAGTGCCCTCGTGAGACAGGGTGGCAGTAAGAGAGGAAAATAACAAGATAAATGAAATTTTTGCAGCAGCTAGTAAAATATTGAGAATCTGCACTTTTTTATTGATCTTTATGATCCTGTTGCCAAGAGCCACTTTGCGGTGACAAAATATGTTGACAAGTGCATATCTCACTGCCATGAAAAATGTGGTAGAAGATTCTCCTTATGTCTGCAGTGTTATACAAGGAACAAATTGCATTGCTACAGCCAATTCTTTATAGAAAGTCTAAATTTAAGGCCTACCAACCCTAAACACTTTTATCTTGAACTTCAGAATAATGTTTGTAGCAATTCTTCACCCAGAAAACTGGTTGAGGCCTAACATTTTTTATTTTTTTTGGTCTAGAGATGTTTTTCTGCCTTACATAAGCTGTTATAAAGAATGGTCATTTCTTGGTATTTTGACTGTATCATTTTGGTATGTAATCCTTCAGCGAGAGTGGACCATTCTTGTATGTATTGAATTTCTATCCATCTCACAGGGCTGTGTTTTACTGTTCCGTGTGAAGCATGAAGGAAGAGCCACTACAAACTGATAACATTTCTATTTTATCTTGTGCCCGATTCTAATCTTACACAGTTTTTGCTGCCATGTAAATCTGTTAACTGTAGAAGTATCACTCTGAAGCTACCAGTGCAAGATCAAGACACTAGGATGTTCCCCCCTTTCCCCCTGAACTCCCATTTCAGTGGTCTAGAAACATCCACAGGCTGTTCTCACAGGAATGATGTGATATCACACTTATGGTAACATTAATTTATACTTGTTGAAGGATCATTGACATTGACCTCATGTTCCATA